GGGGCAAAGGTTGTTTGCAGCTGGAGAGAATACCACAGTCTACAAGTAAAAAACGGAGAGTGATGTGCATTGCAGGGCTCAGCTGCCTGTTTTACTCTTCCTGTTCTGAAGACCAGGAGCAAACGGACGTGATAAATTGTTGAGGGCCTTGGGATTAAAACAGCACAATGGAGTTAAATGAACTTCTGAGAGCTTCCTGAGAATCATCTCCGAATGCTGAAGTGCCCAAGTTCTGCAAGTGAAGAAAGAGGGAAATACCCAAAGAACTACCTGAAGCAAAGAAGTTGACTTCTTTCAGCACTGCAATGGTGGTCACTGTGCTAGCAGAAACATACTGAAGCATTAAAAATAAATAAATAAATTTAAAAGTTTTAGGTATAGGGAAACATACATTAGCTTTTATTGTTTTGGTTTTTTTTATTGTTAGCTGTTGCTATAAGGCAGAAAGGGAGGAAAGCTTATAACGTTACAAGCAAGTTGGGATTTTCTCTTCAACATGTTAAATGAAGAAGTGGGAGTTGCACCTTGGTGGTGAAGGCAAGGAATGACCAGTCCAATAACAAACCTGGTTGCCTGGGAGGTAAACTTGAGTGGGGATTAAAGGATGAAAAGATCAAGTTCTATAGTTGCAACTGTGACAGTCAGGAATGGATTGATGCTTTCACTGAGCTTTTTCCTTTGTGTACTGTTAAGGCTAGCTTAACAGACTCATTGTCTAGCAAGTATTGTCCTCAAGGAATAGACTCCAATCCTATTATAATGATGTCAGCTGTTGGCAAACTGTACTTGATGGAGAAACTAGCTTCTTCTCATCTCATTTATATCCTACATAATTATTCTGGTTATACTTCATTCACATCTGTGCCTGTGGGAAGAGAATCAGTCAGTGGATTGAGGCTTTTTTTGGTTCATGATGGAGTTTAAGATCTTTCCCTTGTTCCTAACTTTATCCACTCATTAAAATGAGATACGCACGTTTTCCAGTCCAGATACAGTCTTTCCTAAATGTGAAATTCAAAATGTAGATCCAGATTTTACAAATTCCACACAGTTTTCTGTTTCAGCTTGTGGTAGGTATGGTAGTGAAAAGGGGCAACTCCATGAAATAATACAAGGTCCTGATGTAGCCTATTCAAAGCATTATATCTATTGAATGAACCACCTTAAAAACAGATCAATTTAAAAGAACAGACTATTTACTTTAATTAGCAATAAAAACTAGCCATCCATGGAACTAAGTAGCTTTTTTTGGCTTATTCACTACACTGCAATTGGATAAATTTAGATGTCATTTAAAAGTGACAGTATAAGTTCAGGGCAATGAAAAAGAGGAATCCTGATTTCCAAACTGTGCCTACTGTGCAAACAGTATGGTTAAAGTACCTAGTATTTTTGAAGCATGGAAATACCCTGATGTCTTTAACTGACCTGGCTTTTTATCAGTAATTTTCAGGTGGGCTTATTCCATTCAAGAAAGGGAATATCGCAAAATGACTAAGTTATAAACAGCTATCCTGTCTGATTCATAGAACATTCCAGTCTGTCATGTTAGGTTTATAGGACATTCAGTCTCTTCATATGGTAACCAGTACTCTGGGCTTCTCAGAAGTTAAATATGAGAAGCCTATGGTGTTCTGCTACTCATTCAATTTATCAAATGTTGTTTTTCAAAGACTTGTATCACCATTCTCCAGGAAGATGTCATTATTTTTCTCATGTGTTATTAATTTTGTTTCTGACAATTTAAAAAAAAAAAAAAAATTATCAGAGTATTTTAAGCTGCAAGAATGCATCCCAACACCCACAGATGTCATTTAGTGCTGAAATTCAAGCACTCTATGACTGCTGCCAGAGATGACACCCACTCACTAGGAATATTTATGCAGCTATATGGGCAAGGCCAGAACTGTGAACATACCTCATCCTCAAGAACACTCTGGCTTAGTGTTCTCAGCAGCTGCTCTGAGTCATAACAGACAGATATCCTAAGAGATTTCACCATGCTTCGGGGTAGATACTGGTTATAGCTCCTGACTTGAAAAGCTCCAGCCTGCCCACAAGAATACAGAAGCAAATGTGGCTCTCTCACACCCCTTGTTGCAGGACAAAGTTGGCTGCATCGTCCTGAAAAATAGGAAGAACCAGAGATTAAAGGGTTTGTTCTTTGTTTCTTGGATGATAATGATCCCCAGGACTCAAATGGAATGCTCTTCACTTGTTTTCTACCCTCACTATGGCTGATCTGAAGTTGAAACCAACATATGTTGCATGACTTTTTTTTTTCATTTTTTTCTGCCTCCAGAGTGTGAATAGAGTATATGGTCTAATATTACATATTTTTGGGGAAAGGGGAGATGACACAGTGGGCTTCTTTCTTAAAAGTTGGTGCTCTTGCTTATATGTTAGAGAAGATTTAATATGATTAATTGTGTAATAGAAGACTCTTAGCTATCCCAAAACATGATTCTGAACCTGACTACGAAGCCATTACAGAGAATTAAGGTCTATTGGGTTTGCATGGTAAGGTTTTGATAGTGAGGGGGCTACCAGGGTGCCTTCTGTGAGAAGCTGCGAGAAGCTTCCCCCATGTCTGACACAGCCAATGCCAGCCGGCTCCAAGATGAACCTGCCATTGGTCAAGGCTGAGGCCATCAGCAATGGTGGTAGCCCTTCTGGGATAACATAACTAAGAAGGTGAAAAAGTTGCTGCACAAACAGCAAATGCAACCAGAGACAGGAGTGAGAAGAGGTGAGAGGAACAACTCTGCAGGCACCAAGGCCACTGAAGAAGTAGGGGAAGAAGGTACTCCAGGTGCCGGAACAGAGATTCCCCTGTAACTTGTGGTGAAGACCATGGTGAGGCAGGCTGTCCCCCTGAAGCCCATGGAGGTCAATGGTGGACCAGATGTCCACCTGAAGCCTGTGGAGGACTCCCCCTGAGGCCATGGGAGTGCAATGTTGGACCAGATGTCCACCTGAAGCCTGTGGAGGACTCCACCCTGGAGAGGGTGGATGCGTGAAGAAGGCTGTGACCCCATGGGAAGCCAGTGCTGGAGCAGGCTCCTCATAGGACCTGTGGCCCCGTGGAGAGAGAAAAACCCACGCCAGAGCAGGTTTGCTGGCAGGACTTGTGACCCCGTGGGGGGACCCACGCTGGAGCAGTCCCTTCCTGAAGGACTGCACCCCATTGGAAAGGACCCTTGCTGAAGCAGTTCGAGAAGAACTGCAGCCCATGGGAGGGACCCCATGTTGAAGAAGTTCATAGAGGAGTGTCTTACGTGAGAGGGACCCCACAATGGAGCAGCGGAAGAGGAAGGAGCAGCAGAGACTACATGTTATGAACTGACCACAACCTCAATTCCCTGTCCTCCACATTGCTGTGGGGAGGAGGTAGAGAATTTGGGAGTGAAGTTAAGCCGAGGAAGAAGGGAGGGGTGGAGGGAAGGTGATTTAAGATTTGGTTTTATTCCACTTTATTCTACTCTGATTTGATTGGTAATTAATTAAACTAATTTCCCCAAGTTGAGTCTGTTTTGCCCATGACATTACTTGGTGAATGATCTATCCCTTTCCTTATCTTGACCCACAAGCCTTTTTTTATATTTTCTCTCCACTGTCCAGCTGAGGAGGGGAGTGATGGAGTGGCTTTGGTGGGCACCTGGCATCCAGCCAAGGTCAAACCACCAGAGCAGGATAGGAAGTATTTTTAATATTTATGGTTTTGTAAAAGTTGACAGTTTTCTCATAGCACTTGTTGCACAAAAAGAGATGTGTATAAATGAAAGCAAGTCATCACCTGCTAGAAGAGAAGGAAGCCTATTTGCCATTGATATATAGCAGAAAGTACCATGTTTGCACACACTGCTGTACAAATGTTTAGGGTAGCCACTGCATTCTTCTAAATTAAAAGCTGGTGTTTGGTTTCTGGATATTCTTCTCCTTCCTCTGAACTGGGGACCTGCCAACCTCAATGGAAGGGAAGGACTTGAAATGCTTACTTATTACAGGCTGCATTTCTACACAGATATGTTTGGATGGGCAACTGCAGCTCGTGTTTGCAGTCTCCCAGGCCACTTCCCTTTCCTTCACATATTCTGTGGTGGAAGCTACCTACTTCTGTTTGGCATCTCATGTAATCCTTGTGGCAATTACAGCAGTTGTGTATATGACAAGGCATTGAATATTGGTATTGCATTAACATTTAATTAGAATGGGAGCTACAAGACCAGTTTCTATAATTTAAAATATTTTAGCTGGAATACAGAAGACATCCTGAGGCACGGCCATGTGCCAGCTTTCAGCACTATTGATAGTACAAACTGATAAGATGTAGGAACTTCTGGCAAATGGAATGGTGAGTGTCACTGAAAAATCATTGTCTTAGTAAATACCAATATTTCAATGGAGGCAGCAGTAGTATGTGCGGAATATGAGAGTACTCACTGCCACTGCCAAAAAGTATATCTAATAATCTTTCCTCTAGGTTTATTCTACATACTGCTTTCCCACTGGGAATCTTGATAATGGAAATGTACAAAGTTATCATTAATAACAGTGAATTTAATGAATATAATCACTGTCAGTACATGCTTAGGATATAGATGATTTACACAGTGTATCCCTTTCATTGATCATATATGTGGGAACCACTGAAATATATAAAAAGAAAAATTTAAGTGATTAATCACATTCCAAACACAGTGTGAATATAATGAACATAAATATTATGTGTGAGGGAGAATGAGTTGTTTAAAAAAACCCCTCTTTATTTCTGATCAAAATAACAGAAGAAATATCATTTATCTTGTCACCTTTAACTTTGAATCAAGTCTTCTAAGTCTGAGCAAATTAACTGCAAACTGATAAGACTTTAATGCAACAGGTGTGCAATTAAAGCACAACAAAAGAGGATTTAGGAGTCTCAGAATGTCATTTGGAAGTTTTAATTGCCTTTCCAAGCTAGGGGACAATTCATTCTGAATGTTTTCCTTATCTTCCAGGAACCATAATTATGTCAGAAGAATTGCAAGATGCTTTAGATAATATATATGATGCTAGAATTCCAAAACTATGGTTTAGGATTTCTTGGGAGTCAACTACTTTAGGATTTTGGTTTACCGAGCTTCTTGAAAGAAACCAGCAGTTCAGCAGTTGGCTGCAGGATGGCCGACCAAATCAGTTCTGGATGACAGGCTTCTTTAATCCACAGGTAAAATTGTCAGATTGATCTTTCTATCTCCTATGTAACAGTTAAATCTGACCTTAAGAGAATTTCAAGCTGACTCAATCGTGACTATACAAAACGCAATCTAAATTCAATTTTTAGCATAAATGTAGGATAAATTAACTTCAACATCCATTGAAGAAATTTTTGCTAGACCAAAATAATATTACTGAAATAATGGAATGCATCCTCTGGTTGCTTCAATTGTAGTGTGGAAATTAGGTAAGTACATCTTTTCACATTTCACTGTTGTCCTCCTTTTTTACCTCCTCTGTTCCAGTAATCTGTTTTTCATTCATTGTATGAAAATTCCTTTGAGTACAAAACAAGGTAAGTTTCAAAACTTTGACATAGGAAGAAGAGATTTGGACTTGGCTCTCAACCCTTGCAAATCAGTTCCTTGAAATGAAAGGCTTGTTATTTATACCACTCCAGAATTGTGCCAGACTTGGTCTGCAGAGACGTATAAAAATACAGCCTCTCGCCTGCACCATCTAAAATAAAAACCTGGCACAAAATGAAACACAAAAAAGAGAACAGCTGAGAACAGAGTTAAAAGAAGTAAAGTATACATACCTAGATGATGCGTAGTTTCTTTGCACAGCTATGCACATTCATTAAAGCTTTTTATGATTCACAGATGTTTGTGGGAAGTAGGAGTTGTGGAAGTGAGTCATTGTGAGAGTATCCAGCCACCAGGTTTCTGTGAAGCCTTAGCAAAAAGCTATTTTAAAGACCTATTTTAATCTCAGTACTTGATAGCAATGCAAAAGCTATCTGAAACAGCTGCCTAGAATAGAGAAAGCAACAGTGGCAAATATTCTCTAGGACTACTGCTGGGAAATACCCATCTATCATCTATCCTATCTGTGTCAGCTGTCTACTGATACCACTTTATAGCATGGAAGTGTGGTCACAGAATCACTGAGCAAAGGGTCCCCGAAGAAATGAGGGAGAGGAGTAGGAGTTCTAATAAAATGATTATGCTTCCATACGTGTTTTTTTAGCAACACATTGATAGTGGCATTCTAAAATATTTGAATTTTTGCAATGATCAGATTGGATGCAACCTTAATAGGCTTTTGGTTTTGTTGGTGTTTGCTTTTGCACTACAGGTGAACAAGAGCTGATACAGATTTTGTACTGGCCATTTTATGGTTTTTTTTGTGTTTTGGGGTTGTGTCAGTTCTGAAATTTTGCCAGCCCAAATTGGGCATCCTCCATTTTTTTGGATCCATACATCTGGATTTCTCAAAAAAATCTGCCAATTACTCAGAGTAAAATGTCCCCAAACAGGTTGTGATTTAATAGACCAAAATAAGTGAGAAAGCCTCCAGAAATACAAAAATTAAACACTTCATAACACGTAGTTCTAAAAGTCCCTACATACATAGTGTGCAGAGACAAAAACTCCAAGAATGAGATGTGCTCACCTGATTTAAAAAAATACTTGTGCTGACAACCACAAGCTTAAGAATCAGATAGTTATGGTTAAAGTCTTCATTTTCTGTAACCCAGGCTGTGAGAGTGGCTTATTCTAGAAAAAATTCACCTGAGTAAAGAATCCTTTTCTATTTAATTAGCTATTATTTTGTTAAGAGTTATATTGCTGTGTTTAAAATCAGTATTTCGTATGTTAAGAAAATTTATTTTCATCTTAAACAAGTTGAGGTGAAATATTAGTGCTGCAGCTCTAATAGCTTGTTTGTAATACCAGAGAAACTGTCAGAAAAATCCTTTCATTTGTGAGATGAAATGCAGCTCCTAAGTAATTTGTAATTTGCCTACTTGCATAGATCTCACTGGTTTATAGTCAGTGGATAAATGCCATGGATAACACAAGACAATAAAGTAGATTTATAGCACTGGGGGAATGAGGCATTCTGGTAATAAAAAGTAATATAGGACCTGACTCTGCCTTCTCTTGGACTGTTTATACACAAGGATAAATTCAGTAATTTCACAGAAGTTAATCTTTATTTATAGTGATACAAATGAGAGCAGGCTCAGGCTTCTGGTAAAATAAACCTGGTTCCCTGTGTGTGTCTGCACTGGGACAAGATAACTGGGGTGAACAAAACAAGAAGTGCCAGGAATTTTCCTCCCCCCTCAAAGTTAATCTGATGTTACTGGATTTTTTTTCCTCAAAAAACTTGACACTATGCATATCTCATTTCTACCTCCCAATTTCCATGTTGTGGCTGATACTGTTTTATAGTTTCCTTGTTTGCATTTCTGTATCCAGTTGCTGTCACTTGTCCTGTATATGGACTTTAAGCCCTGTGAGGCAGAACTGTCTTTCCGGTTGTATAGTACTTAGCATAATGAACCCTCAGCCTATTTCTAAGACCCTTAGATGCCAAACAATGTGAATACTAATGAGAATATGAAGTACAATGCCTCCATTCCTCAGTGCCCACTTAATTCTAGTAAACCTGCCATAATTTGCTCATTGTAGAAACTGCAACATAAATGACAAACAAGGAACCTCCTAAGCAAGATAAAGGAGAGAATATGATTGTGAAAGCAATAGACTTAACTGATTTCCATATTTCTTGTCATAGTTTTCATGGGTGCCTGCTTCTCCCTCACTAGAAGGTTCAGAGTTATTTTGCATGGGTTGTTAGAAGGCAAAGGCATGAAGCTTTAGCAGCTTTCAGTGAGCAGGGCAGAGAGAAGTTCAGGAAAAGGCGGGTGAAGAAAATAATTTATTTTCCCTGTTTCTGAAATGTCAACACGCTCCCTCTTCCCCCAAAAGCCCCCAAACATACAAACAAAACAAAAAAGGGCAAAGATTAACAGAAATCAAAAATAATCATGGCAAGTGGTCCATTATGTCCCTGACAGAGGGCTTTGGTGGGAGCCAAGCCCTCAGCCATACAGTGGCACTTCAAGCCACTTGATTCTTTCTTGCTGTTTAATGTGCCATCCACCCACTCTGAAATACCCAGCTGGGCCTCCAGCTCACAGCTGTAGACTTTAAAGACTGTCTAGGATTCATTCAAATGAACAGATAAGTGTCACAAGTCCCATTGCAGACAGCATATAGGTCCTGCCATCTCTGTAAGAATAGTCTGCAGTCTAAATCTTATCCCTGAGGACAACTCATAGCTCCGATCTTTTATTCTAATGTTTCCACTGTGCCTTTGAACTGATTCCCTTAATACAGTCATTGCTCTGTCCTGTCCTCTTCAGGCTCTTCTTTCTTTAATATTTCAGCTTATCTGGGATCCAGTAGCCCTGTGGGGCCTTCTGGCAGTGAACACTTCATGTATTTTAAACTATTGGTGCTATCATGTTTCTACAAATTAAAATTCCACAAATTAACTACAAGGATTCTGCTTTCATTTAAAGGCATTTCTGATAGAAGAACTTGGCCTTTAATCCTGTCTCCCTTAGCTATATGCTAGAGTTCTCAACTACTTCAAACACAATTACAATTATCTGTGCTATCACAAAACCTCTTTAAAACACTTGTCCTGAGGTCTCTGGAATGATATTAATGAGAAGCGAGCAATGTCAGTTAACTGAAACATCTGAGTTCATGAATGTCATCTCGTGTTCTCATAACTTGAAGGGTATTGCATAGCTGCAAAGTGCTTAGCAGATGCAACAAGCACTCCAGTCCCAGCAGCCTGAGATTGGCCCCTGCATTCAGTAGACCAATGTGCTCATGTTTCAGCATCTTCTTTCCATTCATTTGGGCCTAACAGTAGCTCAACAGAGCATCTTGCACTGTGAATACTGAAGAAAAAGAAAAAGCTTGTTCAGTTCCCTCATTGCTCCTGATTTCTTCCTACAGGAGAAGTAGGAAGCCAACAGCCAAAGTGCTGTTGGCTCTCTAACACCCACCTTTGTGTGCTCCCCACGTGGCTCTGTATTCTCCCATCTCTGTCTCTAGACACCTTCTTTCTCTGCTCTGAAATCTGTCCTGAAACTTCTTCCTTCCTAGTTGTCCTTCTCAGTAAGTCCCTCTTGCTCTGGCATCTTCAATTTTTGTGTTTTATTCATTCATCGTGTAGCTATGCAAATGAGTTTCCATAGGGAAAAATATGGTGCACATCCACAGCATCTCCACTGAAAGTGCAAAACAGTCTACACCCTCCTGTCTCTTAGGACTAAGGTATGTCCCATGTACAGCAGTGTGTGCGTGCACACGGACAGCTACATGAGAAAAGCCAACCAGCATCTTCAGCCTGGCTTGTCTTGTGATAGCTTCTAACCATATCATGAGATTGTAGCTCTTTAGAACAGAGTTTCATTCTGTGCTGCTGAAATACTGTGAGTCTATCTTGCTGCTGTCTACAACAGTACGTTATTGTAGTATTTTAAGGCACTGAGCGAAGTGGCAGAGGCATTTTGCTATTTAATTGCATGGTTCCAGTACGTACTTCATTTGTATTCTGTAAAATGCTTCACAATTTGTTGACTGAAAAGCAATTTTACAATGTTGGTATGAGAAAAAGTGAGTAATATAGCACATGAAATACCAGTGTTATTTGTGGCTTAGCAATTACCTGTATTTGCAACCTCACAAAACACATTAATCTGGCAGCCTTGTAAACCTCTTTCCATTTAGCTGGCTGTAAAATACACGTGAGGTGAGGTGAATTGTACACGTAGCTTCTGATATGTTAAATAAGCCAATTTGGTGGCTTCTTAGCACCAACACATGCCCATCAAGTATATTAAGAAAGTATGGTACTGGGAAAATGTAGGAGAGCACTGGATTTACACAACTGAATTTAGTTTAGTACACAGATCAAATTCTGTGGGATGAGGTTTTATACTGCTGATGTCAGTATGATATAGAAAAAAGTTTTAAATGGGTCAAATTCAAGTATTAAAACACTCTATGTCATATTCCATCTCCTTAGGGATTCTTAACTGCTATGAGGCAAGAGACAACTCGCATGAATTTAGCAAAAGGATGGGCGCTCGACAGCGTTGTTTTACACAATGAAGTGACCAAGATGATGAAAGAAGATGTTGCTGGCCCTCCTCCTACTGACATTGGTGGGGTTTACATATACGGCCTTTTCCTTGAAGGGGCAGGTTGGGACCGCAAAAACAGTAAGCTGGTCGAGTCAGCACCAAAGGTAAGGATCAAGTGAGCATGGCTGCCTGTGGCATAGTATGGTGTGCTCAGAGAACACCAAGCAGTATTTTGAGTGCCCGCAGCAGTGGTTTCACAACAGCTTTTGGAGGGTAAAACACTGGCAGGGCTGGGAAGAGGACGGGGTGTTTACCCAACAGAACCAAACAAAAAAGACTTCTGTCAGAAAATGAATTTAGGTTGCTGCACTAAAGCAGACCAGATGCCAGGCTCCTTGGCTTCAAGGGCCCTAGAAGCATAGCTATTTTTTGAATAAAACCGTGCAACCCGTAGTCAGCCTTTGTTTCACTGACCAAGTGGGACCCTATCACAGCTTCCAAAGCTCAGGATTGGGTCTGAAGACAGCTGCTGTGGAGGTCAGTGTTTGGATGACTAGAAATCCCTGGCACTTGTTTTTGAATAGGAGGAATAGTATTCTAGGCTTATGATCAGTTATCCATGCATGGAATTACATTTTACTGATGTGACTGAGCAGATTTAAAACCTAGCTATGGAGTAGTGATTAGATGCTGTACTGATTAGATGCTGCGGTCACTGCCCAGGGAAAGCAGCCACTGTCTGCACTGGTAAACTTTTTCTAAACCAGTGATGACTGTCTTGGAATTGGAGTTGAAGTAATTCCTCTCCATCGGTAAAACACTTCCGTGTCTGGCTGAGAACAAACTTTTCCAAACCAAACCTTGCTAGCTATAGCTTCTGTTAACAGCTGTTGCCTGGTTTGTCAAAAGACACCTTTAAACATGGAGTTTACTCAAGTGCTCTAGAGTTTTCAGCAAGCCTCCATGTTGCTCTTGGGTTTGGGTCTTTTTTTTCCCCCTGGACAATGAATACTTTATATTGCTGGAAGACCTCAAGGGATCTGGTCTGATTAAATACCTAAGAGGCATCTTGGATCTTTAAAGCTCTGCCACCAGCAGTGTAGAGGTAACAAGGAGGCTTGCTAAAAGCATCTTGGCCTTTGTAGCTCCAGTCCTACCATTCAGGGAACAGGAGGTGGGGAAAGGATGGGAAAAAAGACAATGGTCTCTCTCCCTCCTAGAACCACCCAGTTGATTTTCCATGTACTTCCATGGCATGCAGTTTTCCAGGCTTCTGCTGCTTTCTTTTCCTTCTAGGCTTCTTGATGTCCATTGTCCCTGAGCTGCCACTGGCTTAAAGTTAGGGTCAGTGTGGTACTGAGCATAGGAACTGTGTTTTCACGTGTACCTCTGCTGAGGTGATCTTGCTGGCTGAAGGCCATCACTGAATCTAGTTCCAGCATTTGGAGTTCAGACACCCTGTCCTGCTTCTCTAATGCTGAGCCCCGTGTCTGTTTGAACATTTTCAGGTGCTGTTCACAAGTCTTCCTGTAGTCCATGTGTATGCTGTTAGCACAACAGCACTACATGACCCGAAGAAGCAACAAGGAAGTGTGTACTCCTGCCCTGTCTACAAAAAGCCTCGGAGAACAGATCTGACATACATTTTCTCTTTGTATCTGAAAACAGTGAAGAATCCCGATCATTGGACTTTACGGGGAGTTGCACTGCTCTGCAATTCAAAATAAGGACCAACAGATAGCTATAAAGAAAGAACAACCTAGGAAGATTAATCTGCAGCCAGTAGGACTTCTGTTGTTATTTGCAAAGTGGTGGCTACCTTCTCATAAGCATACGGGAATTAACAAGTGACATATTGAGGTTGTGTTGATTACACATAGATCAGTTTACTCCATTGGCAGCAAATGCTAAGTGTATTTAACCTGGGAATATCAGAGGGAAAACAGTTGCAGGTGTAAAATTTGGCAACTGTTACAAGCTTGCTCATAATGAAAAAACTAGGAAAAAAGTGCTTATCTTAGTGACAGCTGCTCTAACATTTATAGTGGTTCTTTTGTAGATGTTCTCTTTTCTTCTTAATACAAGACTTCTTCATAATATAATTCTTTTTAAATTCAACTTCGTAGTTAAAAACTTATCATCCATAGCATTACTAAAATTGTAATGACAAGTGAATTAATCGTATGGTAAAACTTTATGTTTATCTGTATGTATTCCAATGCACAGTTCCTTTGATTTTGCATTTCTAAAGTTACTGGGTGGTTTCACAAATAGATGCTACCCTACCATTTTCTTGAATAGTCACATTTTTATGCTAATGATCATAGAAGTCATACAGGTGAGTTTATCTTTGCACAAGTAGTGGCTTTTGCATATACTAATTAATTTCTAAATGTATATCCCATTATAAAGAAGATGTGCACACCCCCTCATTATTAGTGAGAAGTTTTGAAACTCTTCTCAGAGTAAACTCATCCAAACACCAGTTTCGCTCCACTGGCATTAGTGCCTGAATCCTGCAAACTCAAACCTCTAAACTGCTTTTTGTTATTTTCTTTTATTTTATTTTCACCTATATTTATTTATAGGTGAAAAAAAGTAGAAGACACACAGGCCATTTCTGGGAGTAGATTCACCTGAAATGCTCAAAGTAATTTTTGTTTGTTACCACCATTGCTGTCTACCTTGTAATTGAAGGGTGATTGCTACTTCTCTTTTAATAGACATATAGCTATTGGCAGAAAAACATGTTCGGCTTTTTTCAGTAGCACAGATTCAAAGCAAAAGAAATTGCTGATGGATGTTATGAAAGAAGCAAGTGCTTTGTTTATTACTTTTTTCTTCGTGTAAACACTTTCCATTTTTGTATGAACACTTCAATTTCTTTTCAGCTGGTGTCCAAGAAAGTAGTTCATCCTTTACCATAACCAGTTTTACTCTGCAGTCAGCAATTGCAGGGCTCTTTCTGTGAAGAAGTTTGATATTCACACTCCCACCCACAACTAAGCAGAAAGTGCCAGATTTCTTCTTGGAAAACAGAGCCAACATGAACAGGGTCCCTTTCTCCCACTGAGCTGGGAGAAGCACTTGTTTCACATGCAGTGCCAGTGAGATTATCTTACCGAGGGAAACCACCTGTTCAAACAATATTCAGCAGGTCTCCCTGCAGTAGTGATGTACATCAACCCATTTCATTGAGAATTTTGTTTCCAAGAAGGGTGAAGGATAGAACTTCAAGATCATTGCTCTTGGAAATTATGAAAAAGATAAGGGGGACTTCAAGCAGCAAAAGGCTGTGCTGTTGTATAGAATTTGAGGTTGAAAATCATAATGTTCTCCCTATCCCCTACCCATATGAGGGGATATGGAGTAAATTAACTTTGATCTTTTGGTACATGTAAAATTCAATTTGGTAACATTGATAATAACTTAAAATGAAGAGCATAATTTGAAATACTTCGAACATCTGAAGAACTCACTGCTTGCTATGAAAATAAAACATCCTCTGAACAATTGAAGTTAGAAGTAAACATTAAAAAAAATAAATTGGATAGAAGTCATATGCAGTGCTACATGATAAGCTTCATGGAAACTGCATCAATTCCTTTGTCAAGTAAAATGAGAAAATTAAATGCTATATAAAGAAAATCTATAGGCAATTATGTTCTAGCAGAACTTAAGTGTTCTGCTGTATAAAAATGCAAAGAAATAGCTTCTTCGAACTTTGACATCTTCATTTCAATAACTAAACCCTGTTTGTCAGTTTAGGAAAACATCAAATCTTGCAGAAGAGAACACAGGCCAACTTACAGAAGAACCAGTCAAATCATACAGTATTTCACTGAAGATAGCTACAGTTTTATACGGAACTGGAAGAAGAATATGCAGTTGCCTGGTTCCAGAAAAGACTTCCTATAACTAGTAAAAAACCAACCAAAAACTACAACCTATCCTATAAGCAAAACCTTTTATTCTATTTGTATGTAATTACAGTACAGTGGAGATGTACACATTACTGTTGAGAGAAATGTCTTCCTCTCCCTGTTTCCCTCTCTTGCCCTGTCCTGCCCTTCCATTCAGCGGAGCTGCTGAATGTGACAACAATAATTTGATTTGAAATGTCATTGACGTAGTATAACATTGACCTTCCCCAACGAGTGTTCCCTAGTTGCTATTGCTAAAGCAGTTTCACTTCAAATGTGATGAACACCAGACTAAATGAAAGAACTGGCAGGCAGAATATTTGAAAGCAAACTAGTTATATTTAAATTGTAGATTAACAATTAGCTGGGAGTCCTCAAACAATGTATATAGATAACCAAGTTATGCTCTGCTGTTAAAATGAATCTGAGATATTAAATACAATCATACAACTTTTGGCAATATTGTACAAGTTTCACGCACATGGCAGTGACTAACATTGCTTTACCTAAGTGCTTTGAAGGCAACTCTGTTTAAGAATGAAGAGAGCAATGCAGTCCTGCACCCCATGTCAGTGTAGCGGTCGTGTTTACAAACATATCTGATGTCAGGGCACTGGCTCCTGAGTCTTGCAAATAAACAGCATTCCATACTCCAAAGGGTGTCTGTCTCATAATCCCTGAGGCTGTGGCTGGTCAATAATGATGATGATAGGAAACAAAGAATTGGGTTATGGATTGGCCCTGTACTTCAGCAGCTTTGTAGAACAGATTTTAATTGCAGTGAAGTTCAGAAAAAGCACAGAGAATGGAAAACAAAACAATTCCCTTGTCCGGTCAGTTATGTTCATGAGCCCTGTGATCCTCTGGATACAGAAACAATTCTTTAAAAGATCTTTAGGAAACTTCAGTTGCAATATTCAATTTTTTTTTTCTCTATTTCTCCAGAACCCATGCAATTATCTTATTCCTCTTTTACAGCTTCATACCGTTGCCTTTCTCATAATCACATCTTTCCAAAACATGAGTACAATAACTCATTCTCTTTGCCTCCTGCTATTCCATATTTAATGTGTCTTCTGCTTTTTTATTCTTACTCTGTAAGTGCAGAAAATGCATTGCTTATGTACATCAAACCTTCCTCTTCCAGAACTCTGAAAATAATCTTTAGTCATTTCAGGAGCTCCTCTTTTCCACAGAGAAGAAATACAGTTTACTCAAAAACCTGTCACATTTTGTCACACCCTGGATAAAGCAAGAATTTCCTCCTGCTACTGTTTCAGTGAGGGCCCTTAAACATAAAGATTTGTATAACTAAAGGGACATCTTCCACAGTTCTTCCTTTTGCTAAAATGAAGTCATAGCATTGTTATTGTTTTCAGATTAGAGGAGTTGGTGTAAGTTAATAGAAATAATTTTTATACTGTTGTACGTAAAACTAAAGAGAGTGCGCTGCACGACAGAGGGGGAGCCCCTTCACTCAGTTTGCATGGCTTGGCTTTTGTCAAGAAGACAACACTACAGACACCCGTGTAAATGACAGAACACCACCAACACGTTTTGTGATATAAAACTTATACACACATTTTTCTAAAGCTGAGTGCGTACATACTGTGTTACCTCTTGTTCAGTAAGGATAATACGTTATGTTTGCTAACTGATTCCTTACGCTGATTGTTTTAAGTCCAGCAAAGGGACATCATCACCTCCTCCTCCTTCTTTTCCTTCCTGCTTAAGAACGACTTCTGGGATTTTCACTCCCTTTTCAGTTGACTGGGTAGCACCTTTTGTTGCACTATTCTTGTCTTTCTTTACTTTAGTGATCACTTCTGTGTAAGAGATTTCTTCAGTGAAGGGCTCTGCTGCTGCGAGCTCAGAGGCGATGTGCACACCAGCTTCCTGGATCCCCTCTTGACCTTCGGCTCCTGTTCGTTCTTTATTTTTTTTATGGATCTTGAATGTCTCCTTCGTTGGGGCAGCTTGTGAAATGGTTTTCTTGATCCTTATTCCAGATTGTTTCAGTCTCTCTCCTGACTGCCTGATCCTCTCTCTCCTCTCAGGGGTCACTATTCTAGTTCGAAGCCTGTTTACCTTCTTGCCAAAATTTTGTCTTGTCTTTTGGATATTTTCCCTTGAAAATGCCTTTTTGATATCATCTATGCGCCTCATACCTGATTTCTTGAACTGGGTTGCTTTGCTTTCTTCGATATAGTATTCTTCATCAGAAGAGAGATCATCAGGTGGGAAGAAATCATCCTCTAGAGTTTCACCTGCTGTCCTCTCTTTGATAACAGAGAGAGATGAAGGACACTCGGATTCCTCCTGTGAATGAAAGCACAGAGTCATCTTCCAGCAAGTGTGTTTTAAAAGGATGGTGATTCATGCACTTTTGTTTGTTGGTTTGTAGTTAATGAATGCTAACAGAAATACAATATTGTAACAAAGTAAGGTAGGCTTGCACCATCATATGTGATCTATACAGAACACAAACAGCAGAAGAAACCTTTGACAACTTCTATAAAGACATTATGCCTGATTAAAGATTTCCTTTCAGTGTGATTCCACCTGAAACTAATTAATGCCATGGTCCTATGTGTACTGGCCCCAAATGGTTTTCAGAGCAGATTAGTCTAGGGTTTGGTTTGTTGGGGTTTTTTTTTAAAGCAGATCTGTTACTCAGAGATTGGACCTAGATCATTATTCCTCACCAATAAAAGTAGACTGCTCTTGTGCTTGTGTCAGCTGTACACTCTCCAAATGAGTGCCTCAATGAGACCAGTAGCTTCAGGCCTTTACTGTCACCAAGACAATTGCACATTTTTGACTAACTGGAACTTAGCAAACATTTCTGTTGCTGCCCAAAAGGGGATGAACCCTAACATATTAACTTACATGTGCTGACTCCACAAGGGGACAAAGTCACTAAAGGAATGAGATATTATTTGCTAGACCCAATTCCATAGAATTCACACAGCACCTACACCATTGCTGAGATGAACTTGTCTTATTCCGTATGGAAAAATATGAATGACCCAGAGCAAGCACCTCTGTCTCCTGTGGTGAGTTTGGTGACCTGCATGAGCATGTGCATTAGATATTTATATTATACATATTAGCTGCATGCTTGTAAGTGGTGACTGTTCTAGCTATCTAGCACTAGGAATCTATGTAGCCCCTCCAAAGGAAGACTGCTAGAGGCTCAACACTCAGACACACAGAAGACTTTCTAAAGCTGTCCGTAGTAAACAGTTTACCAAGAATCACTTAGTGGTTAAGGATGTGCAGAAAAAAAAAAAAGGAAAAAAGCCTGTGGTAATGGACAGATTCAGTAGTACAATTTACCTGAACAGGGAGAATCTCCTAAGAGAGTTGATCCCTTGATCTGAAGACTGCTGTCTGCATGGACAATTGTAAATTTGTGGCTTTGTCAGTGAGTCATTTCCATGTAGAAGTACTAGTGTATGCAGAGTAGAAAAGCCATGACTTGTAGAAGGTGTACGAGATGGACAATGCCAGCCCCTTCCTCCCTAGTAGCTATTTATGTGCGTGTGCATGTGCTCTTCTCCCAGGAGGAGCAGCTCTTTAGGGTGCAGTCACATACAACAGCTATATAAAACTTCTATAAGCTGTTTCCCATTAGTAGTAACTACTTTAGCTGATTTCTGAGGCATGACAGTGTCTGGCCTCTATCCCTAATATTATTATCTTAATGCAGGAAATAGGAGAGATATTAAAAGTTGTGAACACATAAAGAATGGGTCAGTCTTACTGAATATTTTGCTGTGAACTGATTTCCGGATAAAAAGATGTCTTGTCATTTTCACAGTGACTTATTAGTAGCAAGTCATGTTTAATGTTATTTTACAGAGTACTAGCAATATATAAAATACATTAAGCTATTTGGCAGATAAAGTCCACTTAAGAGTCTGTCATTATGCCTTGGCTTCATTAAAAACCCTCTAGTAAAATAGTTGTTAATGCTTAGAAAAAATAGGGATGAGTTATGTTGCATTGATTACAGCAGAAT